CAGGTCATGTTCTCGCGGTCTGTGAATTCAAGCCCCACATCTGGCTCTGTGCTGACAGCTCAGAGCCTGGAGCCTGCTTCAGATTCTGTGTCTTCCTCTCTCTCTGCCCCTCCCCTATTCGCTCTCCGTCTCTCTCTCTCTCTCAAAAATAAATAAACATTAAAAAAAAGAAAGAAAAGAAAAGAAAAGTAGATCAAAAGTAAAAAGGACAGCACCTCAAGCCTCTGCATGCCTCCTTATACATGGTAGGGCCTTTCACTCTACTGTAGCTTTAAACAAAGGAACCTTGTACCCTATTACTCTGAATTTACTGCAGCATCCCTCCAAAATCAATGAATCTTGCTTGCAAATCAGTGAATCTTACTCTTAGTAACAAAACCAAAACCGTTATTTTTCATTGTTAGTTGGGGACCAAACAACTAAAGTTCCCCAAATATTTAGTATGAGAAAGTCTACTAAAATTTAAATACTTCTCTAGTGAAGAAATGAATGAACTTTAAGATTCATTCAGCAATAATAGTCCATTATAGAAGTTTTAAAATTTACTCTAAATTAGGGGTTGGCAAACTTTTTCCATAAAAAGTCAGATAGTATTTTTAAATATTTTCTTTTTTCTTTTTCTTTCTTTTACAACTCTAAAAATGTAAGAGCTAACTGAAAGCAGTGGGTATGTTCACATTGTTGTCAACCAATCTCCAGACCTATTACATTTTGCAAAACTGAAATTCTCCATCCACTGAACATAATAATTCCCCATTTCCCCTTGTATACCCGTGTGCATCGCAGCACTGGACACCATTAGGGGATAGAAAGTCAAAAGGTCAAAGTACACACACCAATGTTCACAACAGCAATATTCACAACAAGCAAAGGTGGAAACCCAAATGTCCGTTGACAGATGAATGGATAAACAAAATGTAGTCTATACAGCCTTAAACATGAAAGAAATTCTGATACCTGCTACATGAATGGACTTTAAAAATCATTATGCTAAGTGAAATATACCAGATGTAAAAAGGACAAATAGTGTATGAATCCACTTACATGAGTACCTGGAATGAATTCATATAGACAGAAAGTAGGATAGTGATTACCAGGAACTGGGGGAAAAGGGAAATGAGCAATGTGTTAAACAGATACAAAGTTTCAGTTTGGGATGATGAAAAAATTCTAGATATGGATAGCAGTGACAGTTTCATAATAAGATGAATGTACGTAATGCCCTGAACTATACACTTAAAATGGTTAAATAGTAAATTTTATGTTATTTTACCACAATAAAAAAAATGTAAAAACATTTCTTAGCTTCATGAGCCATATGGAAATAGACTGGAGACCGTAATTGGGTTGCAGGCCACAGTTTGCTCTGAATCATAAGACCCACTAAACAAAATGAACAAAATGACATGAAATACTTAGAAGTTTTTTTGAAGTCATTGTAATTCATTTTTATTTCAACATGAACATGTTAAACAGATTTTCACATTTAATATATTTGTTACACTTAACAAATTATAAGTGTACCCAGTAACTTGTAAGTGTAGCCAGTAAATGTTTGAGAGAAGTCTCTTTAAGATGAAGTCAACTGGGGCGCCTGGGTGGCGCAGTCGGTTAAGCGTCTGACTTCAGCCAGGTCACGATCTCGCGGTCCGTGAGTTTGAGCCCCACGTCAGGCTCTGGGCTGATGGCTCAGAGCCTGGAGCCTGTTTCCGATTCTGTGTCTCCCTCTCTCTCTGCCCCTCCCCCGTTCATGCTCTGTCTCTCTCTGTCCCAAAAATAAATAAACGTTGAATAAAAAAAAAAAAAAATAAGATGAAGTCAACTGATGCCACATTGGGGCACCTGCGTGGCTCAGTTAAGTGTCCAACTCTTGATTTCAGCTCAGGTCATGATCTCACGGTTAGTGAGATAGAACCCAGAGTTGGGCTCTGGCTGACAGCTTGGAGCCTACTTGGGATTTTCTCTCTCCTCCTCTCTCTCTGCCTCTCCCCCACTTATGCTTGCTTTTGTTCTCTCTCTCTAACTAAATAAATAAGCATTGGAAAAAAAAAAAAAAAGACGAGATCAAAATGTATATAAGGACATAAGGTATTACATGTAATATGTAATCAGGTATTACATGTAATATGTACAGCTTTACCTGTTATAGATGTAGGGAGGTATAGAGGAGATAGAAATAAATAAATAAATAAACCACGGTGTCTTTAACAAAGCTTAAAACGTAGCCTGAACAATGTGGTAGGTAAAGCTGAAACTTAATGGGCAAAAAATACTCAAAGTTCAGATTTTAAGTTGGATATTACAGCTAGTTCCACTTATATTTTCTTCCCCATTCATTTGGTACATAGTAGACCATTTTCCCTCCCATTTAGGGGAGAAGAGAAAATGGTACATTACAAAATCAAGCATAATGTAAAGACCTGCTCATATCCCTTCCCTACATTTGCAACACTCTTTCATTGGTTAGCATAATCTCAAATTCTGAAGGCAACATACTCCTAAAAAAGAAAACCCTAGACACCTTATGAAGGCTCAAAGTCAGCTCTAGGCAAAAAAAGAAAAAAAAAGAAAAAAAAATCACTCTAAGCAAGAAGCCTTTTTCCAAAAGATAGAGTGCACATAAATATGGAGACAAGAGACATGGTTTCAGTTATCTACTCACTGGAAAAGATGTGTAACAACCCTACACAGAAAAGTAAAATAATCATTTTTATTATGCTTATGAATTCTTTTTAAGACTTTAACTTTATTGTTTTTTCAGAGCAGTTTTAGATTTAAAACAAAATTGAAAGATACAGATAATTCCTATATAACCCCTAGCCCCTCCACACATGCATAGCCTCCCCATTACCAGTATTGTCCACCAGCATTGTACATTTTTTATCAAGGATGAATCTACACTGACACATCAAAGTCACCCAAAATCCACAGCTTACCTTAGGGTTCGTTCTTGGTGTTACACATTCTATGGATTTGGACAAAAGCATAATGACATACATTCATTAACATTATAGAGTATTTTCATTGCTCTAAAAATCCTCTATACTCTGTTTATTCATCTCTCCCTTGTCCCCGTCTGGGAGCCATTGACTTTTTTTTTTTACTGTCTCCATAGTTTGTCTTTTCCAGAATGTCACATATTTGGAATCACAGTGTGTAACCTTTTCAGCTTAGTAGTATTCATTTAAGGTTCCTCCGTGTCTTTTCATAGCATGGTAACTCAATTCGTTTTAGTGCTAAATAATATTCTGTAGTCTGAATGTACCATTGTGTATTAATCCATTTATTTAATGAAAAACATCTTGGTTGTTTCTAAGTTTTGGCAATTATGCATAAAGGTGCTATAAACATCAATGTGCAGGTTTCTGTGTGGACATAAGGTTTCACCTCCTTTGGGTAAATAGTAAAGAGTTCAATTGCTGGATCACATGGTAAGAGTATATTTCATTTTGTAAGAAACTTCCAAACTATCTTCCAAAGTGGCTGTACCATTTTGTGTTCCCACTAGCAATGTATGAGAATTCCTTTTGCTTCACATCTTCACTAGCATTTGGTGTTGTCAATTTCTAGATTTAGGCCATTCTAAGAGATGTGTAGTGGTAAGTCATTTTTTTTTTTCACTTTGCATTTCCCTGATGGCATATGATGTGGCACATCTTGGCATATACTTATTTTACATCTGTATATCTTCTTTAGTGAGGTCTGTAAAGGTGTTGGCCCATTTTTTAAATGAGCTTTTGTTTTCTTATTGTTGAGTTTTAACAGTTCTTTAAACATTTTGGATAACAGTCCTTTATCAGATGTATTTTTTTTTTTGCAAATATTTCTCCCAGTCTGTGTCTTGTTTTCCATTCTCTTAAAATCGTGGATTCTTCAGGTCAGGAATTAGGACAAGACAGAGCAGGAAAGGCTCACTTTGGTCCACAAGTCTAGGTCCTCAGCTGGGAAGGCTGAAAAGGCTGAAGGGTAACTAAATGGCTGACAGCTGGAATCTGCTTCTCCATTCTCATATCTGGCACCTAGGCTAACTGGAGGGCTGGGCTCAGCTGTGACTGTCAGTCAGAGTACATTCAAGGGGTCTCCCTATTGCCCTGGGCTTTTCACAGCACATGGGACTCAGGTAGTCAGACTTCTTACATGATGGCTGAGAGCTGCAAAAGCAAGGGTTTCAACAGACTGCATGGCCTTTTATGACCTAGCCTCTGAAGTCACATATGGTGACTATGATCACTTTCTCTGTATTCTCTTGTATAAATCAATCATAAGCCCATCCAGATTTAAGAGGAGAAGACACAAAGTATACCTTTTCATGGGAAGGACATCAAAGAAGTCATAGCCATATTTTAAAACCACCAAGGGCATATTTGTATAGAGAGATGTGAAGACACATACCAAAAGGTTGACAGCAGTGCCCACCTCCCACGTTCCCTCAAAGTGAATTTTATTAACTTATTATTTTAAGTCAGACTAACACAAACATATTCTCCTTGGATGGCAAAATTCCATCTACCTATTTTCATGTAATACAGTAACAAACAGAAACTTCATTTCATCTATATAAACTGCATCAAGAATGAATAATGTCTTACTTTGGGGCCTAGTACCATCTGCCAGTTACAACCACTTCTTATCTTCCAAACACCATCAAGCTCAGATCCACCCTCAGGCTTAGACTAAGTCATATCCAGAAAGAATACAGAGAATACATATAGCAGATAAAGTAAGTAGACTAGAATCACACCAGCATTATGATTGCTGAAATTGGTAGCCATTCTCTATCTCAGTAATTGCTAGACTTTAGGATCTCGTGGACCAAGAAAAATTTCAGAAATAAAATAAACCAAATGGGAGCAAATAAAGTTAGCAACAAATATTTCTTCAAAGAAAATTATTTAGAAAATAACTACTCTATAACTGTCATTGGATAAAAGAAACAGAATGAACAATTTCAATGTAATGCACAATCCTTAAGAGTAAGTTTAACTAAATGAAAAACTCACTATATTTTTTTCTTATTTCTCTGCTGATCTGTAGCAACTTCACCATAGATGAACCCCAGTTCACAAACTGGTGTGCAAAACTACTTGTCCATCTGACATTCTGGTCTCTTCCATCTCTTACTTTATTCTGATAGTTCTACAACTTTAGCTTGCTCCTAGGAAAGACAGACAAATAAGTAATTAAAACACAACATGAATGCCATAAGGATACAGGGAACAAAATCAAGAAAGTTTTCACAAATTAGGTTGAAAAAGGTTTGCCCCTGGGAAAGAATGAGGAAGACTGTTAAAGGTGGCAATGACTGTGACTGAAAGCATAGAGACAATCTACGTATGCAGTATATCCAAGGAAGATACATTGTGAATCAAAAAAGTAAGTAGTGGTTATACTTGATTGTAGAGCAAGGGTTACTTTTCTCTTCTATATTCTTCTAGTTTCTGAAATTTAACACTGGAATATGCATAAATTTAATGATCAGGAAATACACAATTATTTTGATTTTGTAGATTACCCTTAGGAAGAAGAAACAAAAGGTCTATTTCCCTTTGAGAAAGCAGTTTGTATTAAAAGAGGCCAGGTTGGAAAATGGAGATGTTAAAGACTGGAGTATGGATGCAGAAATGCAGCTCTAGACTTTGGCCAGGGCAGATGACACTGGGGAAGATAACATTCCCTCAATGCCTCTGTTAGAATTCTAGGCTAGGTGTACTCAGACTGAGGCCTTCTTGTCCACAATCATGAGTCAGAAACTCTCAGGTGGCAGGTGTGTCTGACAAGTCAAATGCTTAGCTGTGCCTTTGGAATCAAGAGACCAAAGTTGGAATTTCAGCTCTACCACTAACTAGCTCAATGAACAAAGGCAAATTACTTAACCACTTGAAACTTTTTTTTTCTTTTTTTTTTTAATTTTTTTTTTCAACGTTTTTATTTATTTTTGGGACAGAGAGAGACAGAGCATGAACGGGGGAGGGGCAGAGAGAGAGGGAGACACAGAATCGGAAACAGGCTCCAGGCTCTGAGCCATCAGCCCAGAGCCTGACGCGGGGCTCGAACTCACGGACCGCGATATCGTGACCTGGCTGAAGTCGGACGCTTAACTGACTGCGCCACCCAGGCGCCCCGAAACTTTTTTTTTTCTTTTTTTCTTTTTTCATCTGTAACATGGAGAACTGCCTACTTTTGTGGATTTAGATTAACTGATATAATGTAGGTGAAGAATTTAGTACAATGCCTGCCCCTCAGAACATGAGAATTATAATAGAGGACACATTTGTATATCTAATTGAGAAGTTAGATATTTGTTTGCTTTGTTGGTTTTAAAAGGCTTTAAGATCCTATTTGCCATTTGTTGTATAGGTTTAGCTAAAAGCTGTCAGTTGGAACGTCAAAACCTTTTGAAACTTAAATGTATGAGTTTTTCACACGAGTTCTAAATGCGGAAAGGATATTCAGTATTTGCAGTTGCTTCTAAAATTCAGCTACCTTTAGAATTTTCTGCAAAATCCAGAAATAATTAAGTAGCCCTCCCGTAGTTTCTAGCAACTGATAGAAAACTAGGAGGACGCTTTCCATTCTTCTCTTATTCCACCCGCTCCCCTGTCCACTCACAGAGAGAACCGGAAATTTCTATGCAAATAAATGGCTCAGTTATAAGGTCTTACCCAGTCTTTCTTAATGCTGGAATACAGTCAGCAGAAGAACATAGCAGGTGTCCCTCAAGTGTTCTCCATCAATTCTTACAGCTTCCAGAATCCTGTTCACGGGCCTTTGGGGCAACCAGTACCAACTCCAACAATTCCTAACCATTTCCTCTCCTACCAACCTCCTAACCTTGCTACGCCTCTCTACAGCCCCTCCCCCCGCAAATGACCAATCAGAGAGTGTAAAGTGAGGCGGATGGGGCGGGCCCAGTTTGGAGCTGTCGACGAATCAGCAACCTCAGACGGCGGGGGCGGAAACGGAAGCCCTGGGTTGGCTTTGGGTTCCGTTGTGGGGATGTCCCGTGGGAGTGAGTGAGGAAATCCTGGGGCCGGCAGGTTTGAGTCCTCACCTCCAATCTGCCAGCGAAATCGGGCGAAGAGACGCCTGCAGACGCGGGAGGGAGAAAGCTCGACCGCCCAAGAAAAGAGCAAGTGGGCAGGCAGCGGCGGGGCAGAACCGAACTGTATGCAGGGTCTTTAGGGGCCGGTCCTGGTCGGCGCCGCTCACCTGGAGGCCATGGTGCAGGCGGTGCTCTGGGCGATACCCAGGTGAGGGCAGCGGCTCCGCCCGGGTATTCCACCACCGAAAACTGGATAGATGCGGTGTGGGGAAGAAAGGATGCTGCCCGCACTGCTCCCTGGTAGCACCCTGAGCGGCCGCAGTTGCGGCAGCAGTAGCAGCAGAAAGCACAACGCGGGCCGAGGAGGCGGCTCGAGCTGCTGGTAAAGTCGCCCAACAGCTGTTTCTCTGTAGCATGCGAGTTGACAAAACAACCAAAGAACAGGGCTCCCCATTACAATCTCTGTCGAGCTCTTTTTCCTTGCCATTGGGAGCTGATTTATGCGGAAACATGCCTTGCACTTGTACCTGGAGGAATTGGAGACAGTGGATTCGACCTTTAGCGGTTGTCATCTACCTGGTGTCCATAGTGGTTGCGGTTCCCCTATGCGTGTGGGAATTACAGAAGCTGGAGGTAAGAGGGTGTTTCACCATTGGCCTCTACCCTTTCTTCTACCGTCCTGCCCGTCTAAGGTTGCCCATTTTTACCCTAGATGCCCCAAACTTGATATCCTGAAAATCAGGGCATGTAAGTGAGCCCAGTCTTAGTTCATAAACCTGTCTGGTTTCTTGTTCACTGGTTTTCAAAGCGTGCTGCAGGTGGAAGGAGGGCCAAGTCGAGAAAATAGAATATATTAAGATTGCTGCTTAGAAGAGCACTCTTTTGCAAGTATTCCATCAATTCCCTGAAAGTAAGATAATTTTATTGCTGAAATCTGATCTGTTCAGATACTGGACTACCTTGAAAACCATGTATTGAATTTTATTAGCATTTAACTAGCTTCCTGAATTAAAGGGTTCTAGTTGGTTTAACTTTGTTGTTTGTTTTTACTTAGAAATTAGCTCTTAACCAATAAAGATTTTGCAAACGTCCCTTGTATATTTTTTGATGTCATATTCTTATTATGACATCAGTAAAGTACTACAAACTGGAAAACCCCAAGGTAAATACTCAACTAAGATAGGTACTTTATAAAAATTGTATAATGAATTTTAAATTCTAAGTTAATAAAAACCAGCAAGTACTTTTATTTAGCAACACCTATTTTATAAGAGCAATGGTGAGACAACAGCTAGTTTAGGCTTTTTGTTATGGAAATGTTTTTACATAATTAAACAAAAATGCATTTTAATATACATTTGTTTCCTGTATGTACACTAAGTTATATTTTGTTGACTTTCCCATATTGGCATAGCCCATGTAGTTATTTTTAATGTTCATATAATATTCCACTACGTTAAATATTTCCTCTTTGTTAGATATTTAGGTTTCTCATGATTTATCAACCAGAATTCAAGTACAGACATTTTATTACAAATAAGTATTTCTTTGAAGTATTTTTTTGGAGTGTGGTGTAGGAACTACTTTTAAGGCTAATAATATGTGTAGTATCAACCTACTTTAAGACTTCTCTTAGTTGTTGGTTAACTATAGTTTTTAAGTGCCAACTTTTAAGGAAAAATTTAATCTGCAATCTCTACTGCAAACACCCTGAACCAAATTCTCTTCATGTCTTGCCTGAACTATTCTCAATTCACCAGCCAAAGTATCGAATTAAAACAAGTCCTGTTCTTCTCAAAGTTTTCCAGTCACTCCGAGTCCAGATTAAAAGCTAATATCCCTCACTCTGGCCATTACAGCCCAACATAATCTGACACTACCCCACCTAATCCCCCTCTGACTTTCTCTTCTCAATTCCTTGCTTCTACCACGGGGACTTTGCTCTAACATGTGGGAGTATGTTATCGCCTTAGGACCTTTACATTAAATGCTCCCCCTTTATGGCATTCTCTTCCCCTAGATGGTATTCTCATTCCTTTATGTCCTTCAGGTCTTTTACTTGAATGTCACCTTGCTACTCTGTTTAAAAATTGCAAGCTTTCCTTCATCCCAGTGATAAATCAGGCTTGTGTTCTATATGGTGAGAGAGAAATCTAGCACTCACCTTCATGGAACTTAGTGGTAGAGATCAATACAACCAAAAAAAAAAAAAATGGCTATGGAAAAAACTAAAAAAAGATCTAATAAATGAACCAGCAGGCATCTTGAAAAGACCATTACCAGCTATAGAAAAGTGGAAGTGAAGGAAAGTTAGAAAGCTGTTTATGGTAGTTACGAGGTCATGGGTGCCTGAGTTACAGTGACTATGGCCCACATCAGAATAGCAGAAATAGAGATGGAAAACTGACTTTTAAGTATCCTTGGCAGTGAAGAAACAAAACTGTAAAAATGAGATGTGTAAACTGTTTACATGTTTAGGGACAGGTTTATATGAAAAACATTTGTCTTTTATTTTTTTTTTTTAATTCTTTTTTTAATTTTTTTTTCAACGTTTATTTATTTTTGGGACAGAGAGAGACAGAGCATAAACAGGGGAGGGGCAGAAAGAGAGGGAGACACAGAATTGGAAACAGGCTCCAGGCTCTGAGCCATCAGCCCAGAGCCCGACGCGGGGCTCAAACTCCCGGACCACGAGATCGTGACCTGGCTGAAGTCGGACGCCTAACCGACTGTGCCACCCAGGCGCCCCAACATTTGTCTTTTAAACACTAGAATCACAATGCTCACACTGAGAAGTCAGTGGGAACTGAGATTGTAGAAAACAGGAAGTTCATAAGAGCCCATCCCCTGCCCATGGTGGGGCATGTACTCATTTATTGGAATGGCAAGATGACCATATGCCTTCCTTAAATTATTTCTATCTCTTACTTGGCTGAGCATGTGTAATGGAAGGTAAGTAAGTGAAATGCACACATAATGTCACACTACTCACTCTGCAGTCATTTTACCCTGCCTTATGTGCACTTATGCCCCAAGTAGCTACTCTTTCTGTAAGTTCTCCTCTCTTCCCCTCAGGAAGATTGGGCCCACAGAGCACACTCTTATTGAACTCTGAACCAAATGTTTTCAATTGGTTCAGGTTCAGTTAACCCACTCCTGGATGCTTGTCTTTAATGGTTTTTTTCTACTTCAAGTTACCTTAGGGGGGAAAAATTGTGCTACTTATCTCCTCCTTGTCTTATGAACCAAAACAACCCTGCTTATGGCTGATAAGTTTAATAATGTTAAACGATAGCCTCATATCAATGTGTCTCAAGTGTGAATAATTTATTTAGAAATAAATGCCAATTAAAATAAAGGTAATAGGGGCGCCTGGGTGGCGCAGTCGGTTAAGCGTCCGACTTCAACCAGGTCACGATCTTACGGTCCGTGAGTTCGAGCCCCGCGTCGGGCTCTGGGCTGATGGCTCGGAGCCTGGAGCCTGTTTCCGATTCTGTGTCTCCCTCTCTCTCTGCCCCTACCCCGTTCATGCTCTGTCTCTCTCTGTCCCAAAAATAAACGTTGAAAAAAAAAAATAAAAAAATAAAAAAAATAAAGGTAATAATGATTTCTACAAATACCTAATGTTTACTTATTTTATTACTTAAATATGTGGATACCCAAAATAGCTTTAATTTCTTATGCATATAGCTTTTTAGGTACCTCAGAAATTAAAACAGCTATAAAACCAGTGATTCAAATTAATGGCATTAATGTGGACAGATGATGGTTTTAAGAAACTACCCCTTGCAATGTAAAAATGGTACTAACTCTGTGATGCAAGGTATTTTTTAATTTGGTATCTATACTGAAATGACTCAGTTCTCTAGTCACTCGTTTATGATCATTTGAAAAGAACTTTCTTTTTTACAGCACACTGAGGATGCTTGGCCTTTATTAGTCACAAGCACATCATTTTTCTCTTAGGTCTACCACCAAGTTGGCACTAAGGCGATTATAAAAACAAATGTGGGCATTAAAATTACTTGGCAATACTATTCTTCATTATCACCTTATAATGAGAAGATCTAGAATATGCTATTATTATTACTATTTTAGGTCATCATTAAAATGGATACAGATCTTCCTTGGTTTACAGTGGGATCACATCCTGATAAACCCATCATGTTAAAAATATCATAAGTAAAAATGCATTTAATGCACTTAACCTGCCAAGCATCATAGGGACATAGTCTAGCCTACATTAAACTTGCTCATAACATTTACATTAGCTTATAGAGGCAAAATCCTCTAACAGCATATTTTATAGTAAAGTGTTGAATATCTCATGTAATTGGATACTGTAGTAAAAGTGAAAAACAATAGCTATATGGGTGCAGAAGGGTCTCAACTATGATGTTTAAAAAAAAAATTTTTTTTTAATGTTTTATTTATTTCTGAGACAGAGAGAGACCGAGCATGAGCAGGGGAGGGGCAGAGAGAGAGGGAGACACAGAATCCAAAACAGGCTCCAGGCTCTGAGCCATCAGCACAGAGCCCGACGCGGGGCTCGAACTCACAGACCGTGAGATCATGACCCGAGCCAAAGTCGGACACTCAACCGACTGAACCACCTAGGCACCCCTCAACTATGATGTTTTAACTTTTGACTTTACAATGGTGTGAAAGCAGTGTACATTCAGTAGAGACTGTACTTCAGATTTTGAATTGTGATCTTTTCCTGGATTAGTGCTGTGTAGTATAATGTTCTTCTCATGACGCTGGGCAGGGGCAGCACGCCATAGTTTTCAGTCAACCATGCAACCATGAGGGTAAACAT